CCCAGAGTCACTGGGCCTCGAGGTTCCCACAGAAGAGGCCACTCAACCCGGGCCCTGCAGGATAAGCAGGAGTTGGGTAGGTAGCCGTCTCCCGAAGTGTGGAGCCGCTGGCAGGGAGAGCCACCAGCCTGAGTGAGAGGCTGGGGAAGGGGCAGGCCTGACCCGGGCGCCTGGAACGTGGGGCCCCCTGGCCTGGTTAACCCTGAGACAGTCGCGCACTGTGTGGTCCCTGCCTGAGTGCTGCCCCAGGCTGGTGGGGAGACAGGGTGGATGCCGCCCAACCCACCAGGTAGTTGTCACAGTCACTGCTGATGGGGGGCGAGGGGGTGCTGTGTGCCAGGCTGCCTCTGCTTCATTCTCCTGCTTTACAGTCCCAGCAATTGGGGCACAGTGATCCCCCAGAAGACCAAGCCAGGACAGGAACCGAGGTTGTCTGACTCGGGAGGCAGGGGCTCTTGGCTACCTGCTTTCCTGTTCCCTGGTCACAGGGCCTTAAAGGGTGGACAGAAGCCAGCTACGGGCAGGCAGGAGCGGAGGGTGGTGTCTGGGGGCTGTGCTCCTCCCTCCCTGCCGAGGGTCAGAGCTGGCGGAGAGGGTGCCCAGGGCCTGCCCAGCCCCTGTACCTCTTTAATTCCCTCTTTCAGCTTGTGATCCTTGTCACCTCCTCTTGGAAGTTCTCCCTGACTTCCCGTCTAGGGCAGGCCCCATTATAGGCTCACCTGACACCTGGACTTAGGGCGTCGGTTATGCTCTAAGGCCGGCCTGACCCGGGCTGGTGGCTTTCTGCGCTCCTTCACTGCTGTATCCTAGCCCCGTGGGGCCTCGAGCTCAGTGGGTGCTAAATGAACCAGTGGCAATAAAGAGATGCGCTTAACTCTCAGGGTCCCTGGGGGTCTCTATTTGGCTGAATGGACCAGGTGCTGGTCGAGTGGCCCAGGTGGCCCTGTCTCCGAGGGGTCCTGGGGCCTTTGGAAAGGGGGCTCACTCGCCCCTTGCTGCCTAGAACTTCGGTGCCGTCTACAAGGTCTCGGCAGTGCCTTCCTGCGTTTCCCCGGCTAAGCCACCTCTGGTCCCCAGGCCTGGCTGAAACATTTCCCCTTGTACTGCAGCTTAATGGAGGCCGAGGAGATGCACTGGCCCATCCCCATGAAGGCCATCGGTGCCCAGAACCTGTTGACCATGCCCGGGGGGGTGACCAAGTCTGGCTACCTGCACAAGAAGGGCGGCACTCAGTTGCAGCTGCTCAAGTGTGAGTCCATAGCGGTGGCGAGCAAGACTGAAGCCATGGGGACGGGGCCAGGCCCTGGTCCTGCCGCCCCACCGGCCTCGTTGGGCAAGCACCCTGCCCCTCTGAGCCTCCGGTTCCTTACATAGTGGGCCCTCTGGAGTCTCCCTTCCCTTCCTGCTGCCCCCACCCTGTCCCCCGGAGACCCAAGGTCGGCTTCCTCGGCTCCTTGGCAAGCTGTCTGGGCTTCTTCACCCCGTCTCTCGCTGTGCCAGCCTGGGGTGGAGGGGAGCTCCCAGCAGCCCTGCTACCTCCAGCAAGATGGCCGTGGCCTCCCGGGGCCTTGGGCCCTGGCTCCGCGCCTCCTCAAGCCAGCCTCGAGCCACCCTTGTCCCTGGGCGCCCGTGGTGGCTCTGCACAGCCCCCCAGGCCTACTCCGTCCTGGGGCTGGCCAGCGTGTCCGTGAATTTGTTCACATGTGACCCCACAGTGGACCCCTGGGGAAGGGTAGCGTGCCCATCTCCTTCCACCTAGTGGCATGCAGAGCCTGGTCAAAAGTCATCCGGGGCCTTTGGGCAGGGGGCCCAGAGTGGGGTCTCTTCTGCGGCCTCCTGTGGCTCATACCCCCCCCCCCCGCCTCCCCGCTGCCACAGGGCCCTTGCGCTTCGTCATCATCCATAAGCGATGCATCTACTACTTCAAGAGCAGCACATCAGCGTCCCCACAGGGTGCCTTCTCCCTGAGCGGCTACAACCGGTGAGTGCTGCCCGGCCCCCCAGCAGTTCGCGATGGGCCTGCCTCTCCTTCCTATCCAGACTCTCCTGAGATGGCTCACGTCCCCACCCCTTGACCATGTCCAGCTTTGGTCACTTCCTCTCGGACCCCAGTGTCTCGCCCCCTTCTCACAGTCTACCCTGGGGGTGTGGCTGGGGGCTTCCTGCTGCTTCATCAGTAGGCCTCAAGGGATGGGACAATCTGGTCTCCAGTCCCCATTCAGCCACCGCCCAGTGACTTCGGCATCCCTCCTCCTCCCCGACTCTGTCCCCTTAACCATGGCGGCCTCCTTTCATGGGATCAAGAGCCCAGCCCAGCCCAGGCCCTGTCTCCAGCCCCCCTGATCCAGGGACCTCCCAGACTGTGGCCAGCTCCCTGCTTCGCACGTGCCGTGGGCGAGTGCTCTAGTGAGCGGCCACGAGCCTGCCTGTGAGGAGCTCCCAAGTCAATACACGGGCGAGCGCTGGCCAGAGGTGGGAGGGCAGTGTCCGTGTAGAGTGGCATCCACAGGCAGTGAGGTGACACATCCTCGTCTTGCAGCCCTGCACGTTGCTGCTCCCAGGGTGCATGCCTGGACCCCAGCACCCCTCTGTCCGCTCAGCGCCCGACCGTCTACACATGCCGTGTCCTTCAGGGCAGGGGATTGGGTGCCAAGACCTGCTTAGGGGCGGGGCAGTTTCCACGGGCATGGTCCAGGCGGTGACCACTGGCACTGTGCCCTCAGGGTGATGCGGGCCGCTGAGGAGACCACGTCCAACAACGTCTTCCCCTTCAAGATCGTCCACATCAGCAAGAAGCACCGCACGTGGTTCTTCTCGGCCTCCTCCGAGGATGAGCGCAAGGTGACCGGGGCAGCTGGCCCAGGGCCCGGGCCACCTGTCAGCCCAGGCGGGCAGCTGACAGGCCCCCTGTCCTGGCCCTGAGGGACATGGCTGGGGCTTGGGCAGCTGGGCAGGCGCTGCCCCTCAGTGCCCGGTCCGCATGCCCAGGTGCCAACACCTCACGCTCAGACGTGCCATCTTGAAGGGCTGAGGGGGCCGCTGAGGGGGCTGCAGTCCCGGGACGGCCAGCAGGGTTGTCCCCCTGACCTTGGTGGTTGCTGCAGACCAGTGGGGCAGTGAGCGGAGGAGGGCGGGGGGCCCGTGCCCTGGCGGCACTGTGCCCACTGTGGCCCTGGCTGACCCACAGAGCTGGATGGCCTTGCTGCGCCGGGAGATTGGCCAGCCCCATGAGAAGAAGGAGCCGCCCCTGGATGCCAGGTGGGCCTGGGGGTGTGCCGGGTGGGCACGCAGCTGGGTTCCTGGGCACGACACACACCCCCGCCTCCCAGCCCCAGGGGCTTGGCCCGGAGCCCCTCCTTGAAGGCTTCTCAGAAGGTGCCGGCTGCAGGGCGTGCCTATGTGTGTGCCGCCGAGTGTGTAAGCGCATGCGAGTGTGCCACCGAGTGTAAGCCTGTGTGTGTGCCCCGAGTGTGTAAGCCTGTGTGTGTGCCCCGAGCATGTAAGCCTGTGTATGTGCCCCAAGTGTGTAAGCCTGTGTATGTGCCCCGAGCGTGTAAGCCTGTGTGTGCCTCCGAGTGTGTAAGCCTGTGCGTGTGCCCCCGAGTGTAAGCCTGTGTGTGTGCCCCGAGCGTGTAAGCCTGTGTATGTGCCCTGAGCGTGTAAGCCTGTGTGTGCCTCCGAGTGTGTAAGCCTGTGCGTGTGTGTCTCCTGTTGGTAGTTCTCGTTCAGGGTCACGCGGTTTTACCTGCTTGCCCAGGAGGCCCGGCACTTGTAGCAACTCAGAGCTTTGGGCCCCCCCGACCTCGTCCACCCGGGCTCTCCTGGGAGTGAGACAGGGCACTGGCTCAGTCCGTTTGGGTGGCTGCGAGGTCACTGAGGTAGCCCAGCCCCAGTAGGGTGGGGACAGAAGCCACCCGTCCCTTCTAGTTGAGGAAACAGGCCCAGAAGGCCAGGCGTGCCCAAGGTCATCCTTCGGGGTCCTCCTCATCCTGAGCTCCCGGTTTTCCGTGCAGCAGCGTCCTGCTTGGGCTTGGCCTGGAGTTGACAATGTCCCCCCTCCCCCCACCACCGGCAGGAGCTGGTGGCGATGTGGGCCCTGAGGCCTGGCAGCATCTGGCCAGTCCCGTGGCCGCACTTGGGGCAAGAACCACAGTGGAGTTGGGGAGGGAGGCACCACAGCCCCAGTCCCCACGTTGGTCCTTGTGACCGCGCACGGAGTGTGTCTCTGTGTCTCTAGGTGTCTGCCTGTCTGTCTGTCGTCGTTTCGTGTCCGTCTGCGTGTCTAGCTGTGCGTGTCCACGTCTCTGGTTCCTCGCATTTATCTGCGCCCGCGTTCGTGTGTCTGAGTGTCTGCGTGCCCATGCCCACGTCTGTCTGTCTGTCCGCATGTGTATGTACGTCCGGGTCCCCTCCCGGGCTCACCGCCCCCACCCGCCTGCCCTCCCCGCCCTCAGTGACTCTAGCTCGGACACCGACAGCTTCTATGGTGCGGTTGAGCGGCCCGTGGACATCAGCCTGTCACCATACCCCACGGACAGCGAAGGTGAGGCCTTCCCGCACGCCGCCTCTCCACACCGGGCCCCTGGCGGTGGCGGGGCTGTCCTCCCCTGGGGCCGCCGCCCGGGAGGGGAGTCAGGTCTGGCCGTCCTGCCTGCTGTCCCCGCGGCTGCCGCATCCTCAGCCCGGGCTTCCCCGACACAGCAGTGCTCTGAGGCCCCCCCCGCCCCCGTCTGCCCACAGACTACGAGCACGAAGACGAAGACGACTCGTATCTGGAGCCTGACTCCCCTGAGCCTGGGAAGCCGGAGGGTAGGCGGCCCAGGAGGGCCTGGGGCGCGCTGGGGCTGGGACCAGGGGTTGGGACCTGTCTCCCGGAGGCCTCAGGCTCCACCCTGGGCCTCGATTTCCCTGTTGTGGCCCAAGTGTCCGGAGGAACAGAGCAGATGAGGTGCACGGCTGTCTGGCCCCGCCTCTGGGGCGTGGGGACGCAGAGACAGGGCTGGTCCTGGGGCTGAGAGTGGCAGGAGGGACCCGGAGGAGGAGGCGGGCCCAGGCGGGCTGTGCTCCCTGTGGCTGCCAGCTCTCAACGGGGCTCTGTAGGCCAGAGGGTCACTCATGGCCCCACGCCCACCCCCGCCTCTCGAAGCACGTGGCCTAGCAAGGGACGCAGGCATGTACCAAGCATCATGTTCATGTGTCACAGAGAAGCGCAGGGCTGGGTGGGGCAGGCCTATGCCTCCCTGTCTGCCACCCCTGCTGGCTGTCCTGTGTCACCACTCACGCTCCTTTCCACTCTCCTTCAAGTCCTGCTCCCCCGCCGCCCCCCACTCCTGGCTGATCTCTTTCCGGTTGACTTCATTAACCCCGGGGACTGGGACAGTCCTTCCCCCGGCCTCCCTCTTCCTTAGCTTCCTCTCTGTGTGCTTCAGCCCCCAACTCCTGTGTCCTCCTCTCGGCCCCGTCTCTCCTGCCGGCTTCCTCCCGCTGGGGCCCCGCGCCCCCAGCTCAGAACCCCACATCTCTCGGTGGCCCCTCACGGGTTCCACCCTCTCTTCTCTGAACTGCAGCCCGCGCTGGCTGGAAATGAGCACGTGGGGCCTCACTGCTCGTTCCCAGCTGCGAGCCGGCAGGGCCCAGTGTTCCCGCAAGCCTGCCCGCACACTCCCGGCCCACCCTCCCCGCCTCCCGGGGCCCACACCGGCCAGGCTTCCCCGTTTCCCCAAAACATCTTCTATTAGGGTTTCCCGTGGCCTCCCGTTTCCAGATGCAGCTCAGCACCCGTGAGCCACACCTGGCCTGGTGCCTCTTCCCCCGTTCCTCATCTGCCTGTCTGCACCAGCTGCCTCATGTTCTGGGGCAGCCCTGTGCCAGCCCCTCGATACCCCGGGCAGGCCTCGTGCACCCTTTCGTCACTCCTGGGCCACACAGCCGGTGTCACTGATGGGCTGTTGAACCTGTTGACATCTCCAGCCAAGATCTCTCTTCTGAACTTCACAGCTCTGCCCCAACAGCCCAGTTGTCCCCTGGACGTTTCGTAGCATCTTAAACTTGTTAGGAGCAAACGCAACTCTCATCTTCCTCCCAGTCTGTTCCTGTCCATCCCCCTCACCTGTCGGTGGGAATTCCAGCCTCCCAGCTGAGGCCAGGTCCCAGGAGTCCTTGCCTCCTCTCTCTCTCATGTCCCCCTCCAGAACCCGATGGCTCCTGCTGTGACACCTAGGTCTCAGGCTGCCTTGTGGAGGATGGATGGGGGTGGGCCCGGACCCCAGGAGGAAGGCTGTCTCTGAAATGCTGAGCATGGGGGCTGTAGGGTGGGGGCTATGTGTGGGGGTGCATATCCACTGGGCCCTGGCCATCCATTACCGGAGGAGGGGGTGTTGGTCCAGTCTCCATCAGGTGACACTTGCTTACCAACCAGGTCTCTTCGTTCTGCAGACGCCCTGACCCACCCGCCGGCCTACCCCCCGCCTCCCGTGCCCACCGCCAGGAAGCCAGCCTTGTCTGACGTGCTCCGTGCCCACTCCTTCACCTCCAAGGGCCCGGGCCCTCTGCTGCCACCTCCGCCTCCCAAGCGTGTCCTCCCGGATGCGAGCGTGGCTCCCGAGGACTCTAAGAGGGACTTGCTGGGCCTGAGGCGGGCCGAGCCGGGCCCCAGGGTGCCCGCTGCCTCCCGGAGGATGAGTGACCCCCCGCTGGGCAGCCTGCCTACCTTGCCCCACCTCCGGAAGCCCCCTTGCTTCCACGAGGGCCCCAGCCCAGAGCCCTGGGTCCCCAGCCACGGGGCCAGCTCCACCTGCAGCTCCGCCTGCACGGCCACGGCCGCCTCTAGGAACTGTGATAGGCTCAAGTCCTTTCACCTGTCTCCCCGGGGGCCGCCCACACCCGAGCCCCCACCCGTGCCAGTCACCAAGCCCAAGTTCCTGAAGATCGCTGAAGAGGCCTCCCTGAGGGAGACAGCCAAGACTGGACTCTTTGTGCCCCCCGTGGCCCCCAAGCCTTCTGTGCTCAAGCTGCCCATGCCGGAGGCCGCGGTCCGGCCTGCGGTCCTACCCAAGCCAGGGAAGCCGCCCCTTCCACATCTCCAGTGAGTGTATGGCGCTGGTGCCACTGAGACCCCTCCCTAAGCTGGCAAGTTCCCTGCCAGCACCCTGCTCCCTACCCCTGGCACTCAGCCCATGATGGGCGGCACACAGCCTTGGTGTGGGGACAGGAAGGCTTTGCCGAGGCTGAGTGGCCTTCTTTGCAACTGGCCCAGGGGCACAGGGGGTGTCCAGTCTTGCCCTTGAGGGGTGTCCAGCCCAGTGGGCGGTGGGCCTGGAGCCCTTGGCTGCCTCGGAGCAGTGGGCGGGGAGGGTCTTTGGGGGCATAGGGCTTCCAGACCCCCTGCCATGCTTAGCGAGAGCATGGGGGGTGAAGGTGTGACTGGACCCATGGGGCTGACCGCCTGCCCTAAGAAGCCGT